TTTGGCCTTTAGGTTGGGATCGCTATGGAAACCGAAGCCCCAATATGACCTCTCAGAGCCCACCCACTCGGACAGCCGTTAATCATCTTCGCTCAGATCCTGGCACTGCAAAATTTGGCCAATGTGTCAAGAAGCAATTATATATACTTAGTGCTTGGGTAGACTCTCCTCTCCTCCCACCCTGCTCCATGCGCTGCACTTTCATTCTCACACTCTTAATAGAATCACAGAGCCGTTTGAAAGCCCTATCCATCTGACGGGATGCACATCATGCAGATGGAGCAAGGGGAGGAAGACGGGCCACATCCTGTTCACAAAATCCTTTTATAGAATCTTTTGTATACCGATATATTATACGGTATAATATAATATCATTGAATTATTTGATTTAAATTTGGGGAGACTCTGAGGCGCCACGGTTTGAGTTTTTCTCTCGTAGCAGAAAGGTCCTGGGTTTGACTCCCAGGCAGGCGGGCAAGCTGTCTGAGTTTGCATGTTCTCCTCGTAGATTTCCTCTGGTTGGTTCGGTCCACCGGCCACTAAAACATGTACAAGGGGACTACGGAAAACAGATTTAACAAACTAACATTGGGAAAAAATAAAATATCCTATTGCACCTCTGTGAAGCGCGACAAAGGCACAACTCGCTCTTGAGCCTCTGATGTTATCTTCAATTATTATGTTTGACTTGTGGCATTGACAAAGAGTGGTTACCATGGCTACATTGTTGTGTTATATATAAGAAAACAACCGCATACTCACATCAATACTTCATTTGAACCCAACACATTAGAAATAGTTGTTTTTTTCAGTTTTTTCAGTTCAATGTTGCTTCAATCCAAACCAAACATACAATCTGAACTCATTTTGTTCAGAACAGTCTACCAGAATTAACACCCAAACTTGTAGTGTAAACAATAGTAATCTTTTTCGTCAAAAAAAAAGTTCAATGTAAATAATCAAAGTGACATTTTCACTCTCGGCCCTTGACAGGTTTTATTTATTTTTCATTCAGTCCCGGACCAAAATGAGTTCCATCCCCTGCTCTAAAATAATAATGAAGTATGCATCAGGTTCTGCCATTCAATTTGTTGTAAAACTAAGAAGAAAAAAAGTACAAACAAAAGCACTGTATTTTAAAATACTGCAATTAAAATAAACCTTTTGAATAGGGATAGCAAAATTATTTATCGTTGACAGTACTACATACATGAATCAGTATGCCATCATGTATCGAGGTGACTGAGGTTGGTTCAGAAAGCAGAGACACGCATGAGGACGCACACGTACACACCGGCCAATTTGAACTTGTTTGTTTACATTATGTCCCAGAACATAATGGACTTTCATGTGATTGTCTAAATAAATGCACTATGTCTGCACACACATAATTACTTAAACGAGGCCATTGTATTCACCACACGTGTGCCAACGCCGATGATGGAGCCCGACGTGCGCGGGCTGAAGAGAGATCGGGTTGCGGCGCTAACAGCTTCGACGTGAACGCCAGCCTCCACAAGCTGCGGTGTTCCCCACATTACATCACAAGTGTGTCAATGGAACAAGGGCAAGTCAAGCAAACAGGAGAGAGAGGCAATGAAATATGTGTCCATAAATAACACGCAGGCAGGGTGCACAGAGGCTGCAGACACAGATAGGATTGACATTGCATGTTACATATAAGGCACAATGCTGAGGCCAAGATGATTTCAATAGAGGTTATAGACGAAAACACATTAATATAGCATTTTTTTTTAATCAAATAGAGCTCCTGGGTTTTATTGTGTTGTCATGTTGTGGCAATTTTGGCTTTTTTGAGGTCTTAACCGCGTTGCAACATTTTTCATTATCCCCTTTTAAAAGAATAGACCTTGATTTTTTTTTAGATCCATTAGCTTTGAAATTCTGGCAAAAAAGTTAACAGTAATTTTTGTGCCAGTTTTCTACCCCTTCTGTCCAAAAGCTCCTATCTCAGTCTCGTAATACCCTTATGTAATTGTACGACTATGACATCACAATCAGAGCAGTTTATTTTCTATTGAAACAAAAGTATTGCTTATAAAATTAGTTTTTAAATGGTATTTTTTACAATCGTTCGACTGTGTCTGCAGCTAGTAGTTTTTGAATTTGGTCCCTCTGGTGGTAGCATTAGGAGTTACAGGTGGAAATAAATGGACCATGCCTTTTTTAGTACATAGTCTCATTATCATTTTAATGGCAAAACATAATGCATCATACTGTACATCTTCACTGTTTTTTTAATCCATATTTTCCATTGTAAATTTGATCCACATGAAATGACAGTTAAGAGTCTGTTGCAGCTGTCTTGACCAAAACATCTCACCACAGAAGAGCATTGTGCTTGTAATTTTCATATTTCAGACTGGTAGTACGGAAGATGAAAATGAACAGTCAAATTTCTGAATACTACCACTACGGGACCAATAGTCAAATTTCTGATGCGCACATAGAAACCACAAGATTACTATCTGAGAAGCTTCTGACATGAAAACAAAACAAGGGTAATGTTTTTATAAGCCCAAATTGAGGTCCTGTATTCTAAATTAAATAAAAAGTTTACTGTTACCATAGCAATGAACATTAAAGACATCGTCACCAAATTCATCTTAATGCAGGGTGAAAGAAAATCAAAAAGTTGCATGTATTGAGAGGTTTTCGGTTAATGAATATTCATTCATAGTTGACTGATGTTATATTAAAGAAGAAATAGTATGCATTATGTAACACCATTAAAAATAAACTTTTACTTAATCATTTCATGTTTTAGAGATTTCACATGAAATAAGCTCTTCCGTAGAACTAACTTGGTGGAACCAGTCTGAAGTATGAACAAAGCCTTCCTGCCTATGTTTCCCTAAACTGACACCAGAGTTGATTTTTTTTTTTGCATTTAAATGGGGAAATTGAGGAGTAATTTATGGGCACAAACTTTTTTTGTTTTAAAGGAAGGTGCTGCTCGACATGGGTACAATCACATCATACTTTTACAGGACTGGAGCTTTTTGACAGACGGGGCGGATATTCATGTTTGTACCAGAAGTTCCTAATATTAGCATGGATGGAACTAAAAACAACTCCAGGTCTATCTATAATGGTGGAAGAATGTTGTGACAATGTTGTGTTTTCATTTGCAGTATATCTTCTTTGAGGCTTTTAAGTTTTCCTCATTAATTTTAATCACACTTCTTTGCTCAAGCGCATTCAAACTTTCTATGTCTTAGTTTTAAACCCACACTAATGTAATCTTTAGGGACTGACTATGGGTCCAGTCCAGTTTTTGGGGAGCTCCGGAACACTGTGTAGGTGGATTTAATCTGTCAGTCACAGTTGCCATCATTGCCTTCAGCCATCATTCATTGCATGTGTTTAGTTTTTTCATTCTTTTTTATCCTCTCATATTTTGACAAACAATTGGGGCCTCCTGAATTCATCTGTTATATTTAAGCGTGCATTAGCGGTGCAGAGCGATGCCGAGCCGATGACAGCCTGTCAGACACGGGGCAATTTTTCTAAGGTCCTCCATCGCGGCCACTCATCCAGAAGAGGACAGTGGCATTTTGACACGTTTGGTGCTAAGTGAACTGAACTAGTGTGATTTTCACTACATGACACGTTATCACATTTGCAAGCGGAGAAAGAAACGACACGGGAAGTTAGTAAAGTCAGTGAGAGGAGATGACTTTGACTGAGAAAAGACAGGAATAATTAACAACGCATAATGTGGCCTTTTTGGAACGCAGCTACATCCTGAGTCATTCGCAATCTCTCTCTCTGCAAATCAACGTTGTCAAATCTGTGTGGGCAAATGGAACAAATACAAAAACGATGCTTGTGACAATAACCATTATTGTAAAAAATCTCACCTTAGTGGCTTTTTCAGGTTAATAAGCCAAACTAGATATTTAGGAAAGTATTATGATTATCAAGATGATCAATACATTATGAACACAATGTCTTCACATATTGTCAAGTAGCAGTAGTAATGAACTTTTAACCGAAAATGTTTAAAAGAACAAATCTTTCTTTGATTTTAGTAGTCCTCCATTTCTTATGAAGTGTCACCTTTGGTCTGTCTCTTAATACCTCCTAAAGGCAGATATAAATATCAATATATTTTTATTCCAAGCACTATCTTGCTTGGAATAAGAAGAAAGCAACAATCCATGAGACGTTGGTTATTTGTTTGATTGGTAAATTGTGTTTTAAGAAACCAAATTCAACCAAATGTCAAATTAAAATATATATTCAAAAATAAAGTGGCAATATGTAAGACTTTCATGTCAAGTCATGATTAAATGACCCTAATATGTCAAAAGGAATTAATAAACCATGCTCTTTTCCAAGACTTATTTAACTGATAACAGTAGTTCAGCCGAGATATCAGAATTTTCAAATTTATTTTTACTGCCTCTAAAACAAGGATTTATTTCAGGGCCTATGTGAAAAAAAATGTTGTTATAGATTTGTTGTTGACAAAACTATTCAGATATTATGGTCACAGATGGATTTGTTTGCATATCTGGCAACCAGAGTCAGGAAGAGTGAGAGATCTTGCAGTACCACTTTTGGCTATATTTTTACACCCTGCTCCTATAAGATGTTTGGCCAGAAGTCCCACCCCTGCATCTTTCCACAGGGCCTTTTTCTTAGTGTTAAGTCAATCATCTTCTGTCTTTCACATCTTTTCAGCAACACATTTACGACACTTCACAAAATCACAAAGAACCACACAGTTTAGGGCCAACCAGCGCAATGATTGACAGCGGAATCGTGATGTGAACCTCTTTTCCGTACCCATAAAAAATTTAGGTAGAAAATCTCCTCAAACAACTTTTCAAGAATCATTCAATTTGTTTTTGCTGTGGTTCTATTTAAAACGATACATTTCAGTCACAACAATACAAGAAAATACGTGGAAGTGCAGTAACTGAAATCAGTGCATTGACTCTGGTGTGATGCATGGTGGGGGCGGGGCTTACCTTATGAGGACAAATTGGGGGCGGCGAGTTGAAAGACTTGTCTGGTGTCTGGGCCGAGTTCTACAAGAGAAACACATTATGAGCCCATGTTTTCTGCACAGAGGACTGCTTCACTGCAAATTACTCTGACACAATCTCCAGCTCTAAGCCAGACCTGTGCCATTAGTGATTTCACAACTACTTCATAAGCATCTTACCCCCATCCAGCTTTTACCTCCACTGCCCACTAAGACTATTATGACAAAGAGAGTTTAAATCTTCTGGAGCAATAGTTTATAAATCATGCAAATAGCTGTAGTGGTTTAATTTTCTCGATATAAATCCTTTGTAGGGGATTTTGTTGCATGTGTGCTTTCAGGTCAAATGGCTATTATATTTGTAATATGGCAGCACAAGACCACCTTGTTTTGATTGCAACGGAAAATGATGTCAACGTTGATGTGGTAATCGTGTTAGAGATTGGGTACCCTTTACATGAGTACTACATGTTGTCCGTCTCAAAAGAAAGTTGCATTTTTTGAGCAAACAGCGAAAACAATATTTTTATCTTAATAGAAAGAAATGTATCTTGTAGAGAGGATCCCATCTGTTTTTCCAACTTAAAAAGCTGATCCAAAGATAAGAAAGAGGCCAACAATTATATAAACACATTGTATTTTTCAATCAATAACATCTTATCTTATCTTATATGATGAAAGTAGTGACAAATCCAAACTGTTTAGAGAGCAAATAACTGGCAGTACATGACATTGTTTTTTGTTTTGAAGTTAGGTATCCCAGGTTGAATTGACCAAAAATCTGCACTTTTCTATTTTTACCATTTTGTTTAACCTTGGCCTTGTGAGTGTCCGAGACTAATGCGGCATGTTTTTACAATTCTCTCCATCTGACGCTTTGATAAGTAGGTATTTCACAAATAACACAAATCCTTCTCAGCCAAATTCTTTCTCTGAACACATGTTTTTAGGTTAAACGATAATCACGCCGGTAATACATACGACGCAGACAAAGAGGCCGTTATTAAGCAGACACAGTAAGGTGAGTCAACAAGGCGACAACAGATGCTCCTGCTGCTCCCGTTTATGCAAAACTTCCATTATTTGCATATCCAGCCCTTGGAAAAAGAAAACAAAAGCACTGCTATTTCTGCTTTTACCTGACCTCCCAGACACAACATGCATTGTATATTGGAAGCGAATGATCTGTGCCAGGCATTTTAGGACGCCCGCAAAGCCTCATGGGAAAACGCTGTTGATTTTCAAACAGGTGCTTTCGGTTATGTGCTCAAATCCAATTAAGTGTCAGTAGACGCTCCCAATACTATTAATGGTTGCCTTATGGTAGGACCGTAAGGACCGGCGCGGGGCTCTCCTGACAAGCAACATCTATTTTTCATGTGGAGAAGAATATTCCTCCGACCGGCTGCGGCAAGGCAAAGATAGTGAAGGAAAAAGACATTCATCCACACATAAACACTAAGCTTCATAAAATATACATGAATAAATGGGCCATGCAGGAGCGTTTGAAATTAGTGGGTAGATTTCTCCCAGAAGATTGAGAAGGCTATGAGCATGATATTCTAATTGATGTGACAGATAAACTTGGTGATAAGGTCTGCGGGGGGAGGGGTGGAGATACAGTGAAGATGCATAAGGTTTTCAAATGAGGCTTGCCAATATGTATATGACCACGCTTGCGGAATTGTGATATGACGCATACAGTGGTGGGTCACATCCCTCAATACGTGCGTTCGATTGTAAATAAGTAATGTAAAAAAGTATGCATATATTAGTCCATATAATGCCATATTAGTCCATATAATGCCATATTAGTCTGGTCCTGCAGGTCTCAGCACTGGCTTCCTGTGGCTCAGAGAATAGACTTTAAAACAGCTCTGCTTGTGTATAAGTCTCTCCATGGACTCGCTCCAAAATATATTAGTGACATGTTAGTACCATATGAACCAGCCCGGACTCTGAGGAGCATAGGGACTGGACTCCTGTTAGTGCCCAGAGTCAGGACTAAACATGGGGAGACTGCTTTTGATTCATGTTGCTAAAATCTGGAACAATCTTCCTGAAGATGTGAGACAGGCCTCCTCTCTGACAATCTTTAAAACCAGGTTAAAAACAGTTCTGTTTAGCTGTGCATACAACTGAGGAATTTTATTTTTTATATTTTTATCTTTCTTTTTAATGTTCTGTTATTATTTATGATTTTATTGCTTTCTTATTTTGTTCAGCACTTTGAATTGCCTTGTGTATGAATTGTGCTATACAAATAAACTTGCCTTGCCTTGTCTTGCCTATATTTCCGTGTATATTTGTTGGTCTGGTTCCCTTCAACTGTGTTAATGCTGATTCTAAACTATAGTTAAACCTGGACAAAGCACACACAGACAAGAATTAATAACAGTTAAGCAGTGTCTCTAGTGCGATCCTGCCCATCTCTGACCCCTCTCCAGCAGACTTTATTACAAGAAGATAAAACACACCCACATGCACATAGGAACACAGGAATAAAGGACAATGGCTCATACTAAACACCTTTTTCTTCACATTTAAACATATAACCATTGCTACAAAGACTCCACGAGCCCCGGCTTGAGGATAAAGGTATACAGGATAAAGCTGTATATTTAAAGTGAATGTCAGTTTTTTGTTTTAAATGTGAAGAGAGTGAAACTTCCTGATTTGGCAAAATTAATTCAAATCCTAGTGGCCCCTGATCATTGGTTAAACCACTCTCAGAAAATCTTACAATTATCTTATCTTGAATATATTATTGTAACTATCAGTATCAGTAACACCATGGTCAGAACTATTCCTTATTTTAAAACTGAAATGCAAGTTGCTGACATCACCCTTATTATGTTTTTTTTTTTCTATACCTCCAATAATAGATTCAGATTCAGATTCATTTTATTAGCCAAGTGCAGTATAAAAACTACATTGGAATACATTCGCAAAAAAGGTACTCTTCACTTTTAATAAACACAGGTGAATTGGGCGTTGAAGAAGACCCGGTGTCGACACAAGTTTGCTGAAGTCCATGTTTTGTCTCAAGGACCAGGTCTGTTTTACCCTAAGTCCTTTCTTTTTTTCAAGTATGTTGACTTATTTATAAAAAAAACGAGGTACGCTTCAATATTATGGGTACTAAAATTATGCTGTTCCAAACCTATGCCTGAAGCTGCCATGTGACACTATTGAGACTGAAGTTTTGTAAACAACAGAGGTGTGGACTCGAGTCATGTGACTTGGACTCGAGTCAGACTCGAGTCATGATTTTGATGACTTTAGACTCGACTTGACCAAATGTAAAAAGACTTGCAACTCGACTTGGACTTTAACATCAATGACTCTGACTTTCACTTGGACTTGCGCCAATTGACTTGCAAAGACTTGCGTAACCCGGGCCATTTTTACCTTTCTCCGCATCTCTCTTTCTATCTATGCCGTCTCTGAAGAAACAAAGCCTCGCGGTAGTTGTAGCGCTCGCGCGAGAGTTCGAACGTGAGTTCCCCGCAGTTCGCGCAGCAACACTTCCCTAAACAAGCGCACTGCATTCACCGGTGGGTGTGTTGTCTAGGGGAGCTGGAAATGAGCGAGCTGCAGGTATTTATCGCAACCTAACGTCATATTTTGTTCTACAAACCGTAATTGATATGCTTTCACTACAGGCGCCTCATACAATTGAATCGACGCAGTTGTCACACTGTGTGCCGTGTTTTAAAGAGGAACTGGTGAGTCAAACTAGCGCTAGCCTGCGCTGCTCTGTTAGCTCTTTCTTATATTTTTCTGTGTGGGCGCCGAGGCCTATTATTATGAGTATGTTTTTGCTGTGCTCCTCCTGCTAAAGTTTGCATACATTAGATAGTTGTTTTGATTATGTGCACTAAGCTAGATTAATATTTGCACTATTGCCAGCAAAATGATTCCTAACATTATTTTGTTTGCCTACAAAAGTACGTGGAGACCAACAAGAAACAAATCGCGGTCAAAAAGACTCGAGAGGACTCGAAAGTCAAACCGTAGGACTTGGGACTGACTTGAGATTTGTTGGCCTTTGACTTGGACTCGACTCGGGACTTGCCTGTCTTGACTCGTGACTTGACTCGGGACTTGAGGGCAATGAATTGAGACTGACTAGTGACTTGCTAAACAATGACTTTGTCCCACCTCTGGTAAACAATCCTGCACCTTCACTTGGAGAGAAAAAAAGGCGTCCCAATATAAATCCTTGTTTTAGTCTTTGTTTTGTCATTAAGGATTTGAGAGTCATAACAAGACCTTTTTTAGTTCTGCTGCCACATGTTATTTTACCAGTGAAGGTTAGCTAGCCGGGCAGAGTTCTGGCAACCCGATCACGGACTTCCATGGGACTTCCTGATTGGCGAAACGGCGGAGGGTAGGTCATCAAAATGAAAACAATAACAACTTTTACGGGTTGTAAAACTAATTTTGATATTCAAATATCTCGGATGAACAACTGTTATCAGTTGAAGATGTGTTCAAAAAGAGCATGATTCAATAACGCCTTTTGAAATATTGGGGCCATATAATGATGACTTGACATGCAAATATTACATATTGCTACTTAATGACTAGCACCACACTGTGACAGCGAGTGTCAACAGAAGGTACGCCCTTACCACAGTAAACAGTCGTGTGAACAGCCCACATTCTCCTATCCTTATATGCTTTCATATGTTGTCACAGAAACATGTGCTCATTGTGCTGCTATACTACAATATGCAGGAATGTTGTGATATACTGTAAAAACACATAATACCCCATCAGAACAAAGGTCAGTTACTTTGCAAGTACCGGTTAGACCCGCCCCAAAAGGCTCCTGACTGGACACAATTATTTAAATTCTTGATAGACAGCTGAGAGCCCTCAACATCGGTCTAACTCTAACTGCTCTCCTCCACCAAATCTTACCGGTAATGCATATTCCAAGGGACGGGACTGTTTTAAATAAATTCCTTGTTTCATGTAGTTAATTTATATTATACTTCAGAGTCATAGGTCAAAATAACGTTTTTTTATTTTTATTATATGTATTTGAATTTACAGACACATCACCTTTAAACTGTATTTTTAATGCAATAAAAGGAGAAACAAAGTACATACATGTGGATTGAAGCAAACATATACAGTTTTGGAGTAAAGAAAACTACCTCGAAGGTAAAATTAAA